AAAAAATGGCCAGGCGTTGTGGCGGGCGCCTGTAGTCCCAGCTACTTGGGAGGCTGAGGCAGGAGACTCGCTTGAGCCCAGGAGTTGGAAGTTGCTATGAGCGTGATGCCATGGCACTCTACCCAGGGGGATAGCTTGAGGCTCCGTCTCAAAAAAAAAAAAAAAAAAAAAAAGAGTAACAATTCCAGGATAGGATGGAATTTGAGTCAGTAAGGCTTTATTGGATATTTAATAGATATCATTGGGGAAAATATATATAGTGTCCACTTCTACCACTCAGGAATGACTTTGGAACATTAACAAGAGTCATAACAATAAGTGATTTCTCCTTTCTCTAAAACTTCCATAACTCAACTGGCATTCAATTTTCCCTTCAACTTTTCTAATTAATTCTTGTTGTCTGCACATCTTAGTGCCACAGTGAATATATGTAAGCTCCTTTGAGGAAAGAAGCACCAAGTACTCGTCTTTATTATCTCTCTCTAACCCAGTGCCTGTCATACACGAGTATTCAATTCTTTTACTTTCTTAGTCTTCTAACGTGACACCTACTTTTCATCCAGCACTACGACAGGTGCTGAGGATATAAGGAAGAATCAATTCAAACACTGTCCTCGGCCTCAAGTAGCTAAGTCCACTGGGGGAGACAACACTAAGTGTCTACACAAAGAATCTACACTCTTCTTCATTCCCCCTTTTAACTTTTTATGGCCTTAATTTTTGCTTATCTTTGTTGGTAATGTCAGGCTGAATGCTGCAGTTATACAGACATACCTCTCTCACTCCCTTACCTACATGGTGAGGAGAGGAAATGCTGCCAATTGGGGTACAAAGGTGTCACGTCAGTGAGTGGGAATCAGTCAGACACTTACCATCCCAGCCTATGGGAATTTGCTACTAGAGGGACTTGAATATAGTTTATGGAATGTTTTTTTGTAGGGAGAAGTGGAAGAGATTGAAGAGCAAAATAAGGAGCTTTGCAAAGAAAACCAGGAGCTGAAGGACAGCTGTGTCAGCCTCCAGAAGCAGAACTCAGACATGCAGGCTGAGCTCCAAAGGAAGCAGGTGTGGCTGCTGGTTTAAGATGAACTGGGAGTGCAGAGATTGGAATTGGATGGTGCTTCTTATCCAACACCATTTTCTGTTTTGCTAGTTATCTCACTCCCACTATGGAGTGGCATGGTACTCACAGTTAAATATGGATTATTTTATTTAAACTTCATGGCAAACCTACTACTATCCCAGTTTTATAGATGAGTAATCTGAGGGTTGGAGAGTTTCAGTAATAAGTAATGGAGTCCGACTGATTTCTTCCCATTGCCTGTTTAGTTTGTTTTGTTTTGTTGAGACAGAGTCTTACTCTGTCACCTAGGCATGGAGTGCTTGGCATCATCAAAGCTCACTGTAACCTCAAACTCCTAAGCTCAAGTGATCCTCCTGCCTCAGCTTCCTGAGTAGCTGGGACTACAGACAGCCATGACACCCAGCTGATTTTTCTATTCTTAAAAGAAACGGGGTCTCTTTTTTGTTCAGGCTCTTCTTAAACTCCTGAGCTCAAGTGATCCTCCTGCCTCAACCTCCCAGAAGGCTAGGATTGCAGATATACAGGTGTGAGCCACTGCAGCCAGCCTGTAACCTGTTTATATTAGGAAACATATGCTCTGATAAGCTGGAATGTGGATGTCAAGAGAGAGAAGTTAGTATTGCTGTATTGCTGGGTGTGATAGCACAGGACTGTAGTTCCAGCTACTCAGGAGATTGAGGCAGGAGGGATCACTTGAGTCTAGGAGTTCTGGGCTACGGTGAGCTATGCCGATTGAGTGTCTCCGCTAAGTTTGGAATCAATATGATGTAGGAACCACCAGGTTGCCTAAGAAGGAGTGAACCAGATTGGAAACAGAGCAGATCAAAAACTTCCTCACTTATCTATCCAGCAGAAGAAAATCATTTTATCATAAGGGCATTTGTACTAGATTGTTTATTACAGCTCAGTTTACAATCGCTAAGCTGTGGAATCAAGTCTGGGTATATATCCAAATAACTGTAAATACAATTTTTTTTTTTTTTTTTTGAGATAGAATCTCACTGGCGGTGCCTGTGGCTCAAAAGGGTAGGACACCGGTCCCATATGCCAGAGGTGCGGGTTCAAATCCAGCCCTGGCCAAAAACTGCAAAATAAATAAATAAATAAAACAAAACATTTTTTAAAAAAATAAAGAGATAGAGTCTCACTATGTCATTCCTGGTAGTGTCATGATGTCACAGCTCACAACAACCTCAAATTCTTGGGATGAAGCAATTCTCTTGCTTCAGCCTTCTAGTAGCTGGGACTACAGGCACCCACCACAATGCCTGGCTATTTTGTTGTTGTTGTTACTGTTATCCTTGTTTTAGCAGGCCCTGGCTGGGTTCAAACCCACTAGCCCGGTGCATGTGGCTGATGCCCTAACCACTGAGCAACAGGCACCGAGCCCTGTGACTTATTAATTTCTTGGACAGCACTATTCTAGAAGAAAAACAGCTTTGTTTGTTTTGTGCAGTGCCAAAACAGTATCTACTGTTGCATAGTAGACGCTCAGTAAATACACGTTTAATGAATTAGTGGACAAACATAAGTTCCAGTAGAAGAGAAATTAAGGTAGATGCATTTTTGACATGGGAAGAGCATATTAAAAGCATTTTAATATGGAAATCAATCCCTTTACTTTGATTGTTCATTCATTGCTATGTCATGTTATACCTGACCATATAGTAAGTGCTCAAAAACAAAAAATGTTTTAGAAATGGTCTCTCCCTTTGATGATATTTCAACCTACAGGAAGAGCTAGAAACCCTCCAGAGCATCAATAAGAAGTTGGAACAGAAAGTGAAAGACCAGAAGGACTGTTGGGAGACAGAACTGCTTCAGTGAGTGTGTCCCATTGGGTGGGTGGGGGCTGCTGTGTCGATAGACACCTTTACATAGAGACAGATTAGATTTCTGGAATTCATTAGAAAATACCATTAAAACAATGATAGATATGAGTCTCTCCCTTTGAATCATGAGCTATCTATTTCTAGGTTAGAGAATTGGTATCAGAAGAGTCGAGAGAAATGGTCTAAATTCAAGTATTAATTTTGGGCATTGAATACTTAATGATTGTTTGGGGTCTGGAAGCCAAAACAGGACTGCTGTGGAGACTAGTAAATTGTAAGATAACTCTGCAGGCCGAGAACCAAGCCAGCCTTAAATCATTTAAGGCCAGATGAAGCTGGCCTGGAAGCAGCAATTGTTTCACATAGTCATCTCCCCCTCCACAGGCTGAAAGAACAAAACCAGAAGGTGTCCTTAGAAAATGAAAAGATGGGAATCAGAGTGGATCAGCTTCAGGTAGGTAGTGCCCTACCTTTACCAAAGGATATTTTCTTAGCCTTGTGATCACTTCAATTTGGTGACCCAGAAAGTACATTTCATTGTAGCGAATGCCTAACGACATACCTTTCACAAAATTGACTAAGTTTCACATTGTATGTTTTCTATCCTAGCACCTGATAATGCCCCCATCCATTCCCTTTTTAATAGTTGTGGTCCACAAGGAACTTAATAAGTTGTTTAATTTGTATTTATCATTAGCTCTTAAGACAGATGACAGTCTGTACCAATGATTAAACCTTAATCATTTCAGGCAAAGTCTTACTGAAAAGAATGTAAAGGAGGAGAACTATCGTTCTTAGCAAGCTGTGCCTTAGAGAGGGCTTTATACTCATTTAAAACTCAGAGTATAAAGTAAAGCTGAAAAGCAAAGGAGTTTTAAGGGATATTTGGGAGTTGCTAGGGAACCACATCTCTTTGTGCTACTCTACATTAAAAAGCACTGTTCATATTTTGTTTTTCTTCCTTTATATCTTGGTTATATTCATGATTTTTGCTTTAGGCCCAGCTGTCAACTCAAGAGAAGGAAATGGAGCAGCTTGTTCAGAGAGCTCAAGATAAGACAGAACAGTTAGAGCGTCTGAAAAAGGAAAATGGCCAACTCTTTCTCACTCTAACTGAACAGGTAGAGTCATGGAAAAAGTAACGCTTTTAGGCATTTGCAAGAAAATATACATTGTCTTTCGATATACTTGGATATCTTTGGCTCTGAGAGAGGTCTCAGAGAAAGCCATTGCCTCTCCCTCTGCATCCTGCTTGCTCACTAGCTCCCTGGTGCATGTGTATGTTCTCCCAGCAGTGATACTGACATCTGTTTTTGTGCAGAGGGAGCACCAGAAGAAGCTCGAGCAGACAGTGGAGGAGATGAAGCAAAAAGAAACCACTGCCCTGAAGAAGCAACAGGAGTTAATGGCATGTCTGTCTTTGGATGGCTATGTGGGAGGGCGCCTAAAGAAAGGAAGGGATAAGGGTCTATTTTCAGGTGATGGAAAGGATAAGTAAGCCAGATTGGAATAGCATTCACCTCTGGATACTTTTATTTTTTATT